AAAATTTTAGTCATGCTTTGTAGAAACATGCATATGAAGCATTTGCACGGATTTGAATACCACACACATCCCTATGTGTAAAAGTGCAATTAGACAACCATATACCATCTAGTTTGACCATAAGCAGCAAAATTGTATCCATTGGAAGATATAATTATCCAAAAAATGAAAAGTAACATGTAAGCAGGAATGTAAGAACAAATAAGGCATAAGCAGTTGAAAACATAAAAACAGAAGATGGAATTAACAGTAAACGTGATGGCAATAGTGACAACCAGTATATTGTAACATAAGAGTGAAAGTAAAAAAAAAACAGAAACACTAAACAACAATGAGAATACTGAAAAATGAATCATGTGTTTAATTAGAGTCCACAAACGAAAATCAAATACGAATTTGTATTCTCAAATACATAAATAACAGCAACAGATTTCGGTAAACACAATTCAATAATAAAGCAAAAGTATAAACAATGAAGGATTGATCAAGTACAAGCGCAGATGAAGTTATTGATCAAGTAAAATATGAATTGAATTATGATTTTCTATACTTAAATACGTAAATAAAAACAACGAAAATCTGGAAACAAAATCAAAATTTCAAGCAAACATAAATTGATCAAGGATTGAAGAAGACTATTAAGAATTTGTCGAAATTTGATTTGAACTTACCACAAAGCTTCAAATTCAATAGACGATCTTCCAGCCACTCGATAGCCTCTCAAATTTGATTTGAACTTACCACTGTTGTTCCCGGGTAGAAGTCGCAGCATCTGGCTCAACTGCGCAAGCACAGCCCTCTCCCAGCCACTCGATAGCCTCTCAACAGGCTATTGTTTCAAAAGAACGGGACTCCACCCCCTCACTGGTTCCTTCTGAATCAGTTGAGCGTACAATTGACCTATCTCCCGAGGTCAAAACCCCTTCTTCTCACACATCGAGTCTAGGTGTCACATTCCCAACATTTTCTTCATTTTCTAGGACACCTACACTATTCACTGCACATACAGGTGCACACACCCTGAACGCAACAACCAGAGCGCAAGCTATGACGGTTGGAAGTCATGTTACGCCCACAATGATTCCATCATTGAATGCAGGCCACACATCAGCAATCTTCACTGATGCCGTGTCAACAGTTACAACCCTCGTAACTGGTCACCCTACCTTTGAAGACGTAAACGTTCTACTCAATCGCTTCCTAGATTCCACCATTAAACCATGGGTGCAAGATGCAATGACCGCTCTAGCACAGGAATTTAGGACCACCCAAGCGGTTAGGTCTGAACAAACCCCACCCCAACCTTCACCCGAACCTTTCATATCCCATACACAACCCGTATCCTCCACCCCTCTATCTCACCAATCCATCAACCAAATTCCCATTCCTTCTCTTTCTCGGGGAACCCAGGATACAGAACCAGTATTCTCCCCACACCCGACCACACCCTCCATCGATCTCTCCTCACTATCCTTCGACACACTAGCGTCGGCTTTGCTGAACAACCTCCTAAACACCCCTGAAGACAAACTTACTCTTCATCAGCAAGCCATACTCGAAGCCCTTCTTTCTTCACCAGAAACCAAGAGCACTTGCAAGGAGAGTCCTCGTGGTCGCAAACGTTCCCATGAGGACACCGATGATTCGGATCCTCGTGACGGGGAGAACAAGCGACCTCGATCACTTGAGCAAACTGCCCTACCAAGCCAAACTTCACAGCCCATCCAACCCGAAACCTCGACAAACCAACAGCCACCACCCACAGCCAACTTATCTAGCATGGTCAAGCTAGAAATAACATCCCGAGGCGTATCTCCCAGAGATACCAACCGAGGAGGGGATGGAAGTCCTGATGATGTTACCACTGGTACATCTTCTGCATCAGGCCATCAGTTGGAACCTAGTTCTAAGCTGATGTCAACGGGCAATCCAAGTGAACCCGGTTGTGCTACCAAGGAACAATCACCGCCTCAAAAGCAGCAAAGAGTTCCATATATCTCCCCAGGCAAAGACATCCATGATGCACTGGAGGAGGCGGTGATATACGATAAATGGCCGAGACAATGGACAGAATGGGATGATCTTCGGAATGAGGCTGAACAAGAGGACATGCAAAGAAATTGGTGGCTACGAGAGCTAATTAACAAATGCTCTGAAGATATCATTAGGCTCGAGGATGATGAACGCAAGGAAGGGGAGAACTACAAGGAATCCCAGAAAACTCTTGAATCCGTCGTAAGACAATCAGCGGGAAGACTTCCCAAGACAGAGAAACCCTGAGATAACGTTCGCATAAAATCCCCCTTCCAAGAGGAAATCAGAGAGCATATCTGGCGTAGACCAGACAAAGTCAAGCCGCTAAATGAACTGAAGCTAAGAGGCCTTACTCATCTAAAAGGAAAACAGGCTGGAGGTCATCTGCATATGCTGCTACAAAGATCAACCGGTACTCAGAGAGAACTGATGGAACAAGATCTGAAGTCAAATATTCTCCCGATTCATCAAATTCTACAAGTGAAAGCTGAAGATTATCACGGAGTAACATTCTACACTTACAGACTTCAACGCACTGACGGGAGTGAATTTACCTGCCAAGAGAATGACTTCATCATGCTTAAACCCGACGATATCTATCAAATGTTCATGGCCTATAGATACCTTCCAGTCAGGCAGAGCATAACATACAGCGAAGGCCTTGCAGCAATCAAGAGATTCATGCTTAGACAGATCAGAGTACACTCTTCACATGACCTACAGATGGCTATTGAGTGCAACCTGAAAAAGACAAATCTGACAAAGCCAAGACTATATGGTCCAGAACTTGAAGACTTCCCAGCCTACCACATCTTCTTCACACCGCCAGCAGTCACCTATCTGAACCACAAGAACGAAAAACGTCTGATGGTAGTCAATGAAATTGAGAAGTACTGTGACGGAACGGTGAAGATAATCAAAGAACAGCTTCTAAAGATGAAGGCAGAGCTAGAGGAAAATCTTCAAGAGGCATCGTCTTATGTTCAAAAGGAACACTCTACAGTAGAGACAATTTTAAAGGCCATTGACGATCGCCTAGAAAAGAGAAATATGCTGAGACAATATGAACATGCACTTGGTATGAGGAAGCACTACTTCAAGTCGCAGAAGCAATAACAGAATGGCACTTGATCACAAAGGGGGAGATTGTTGGAGATATTTAATTGTGAATCAAGTTTGTCATAGATTAGCTTTATATTTAATCCTTGTATTTAATTAGTGCATGAATTAGATAACAATCAGGCCAAGTGTTAGGCCCATATAAACAGGCTAAAAGCCTTGTACGCCTAACCTAAACCTCGCCTATAAAAAGGGAGTCGAGGGTTTAGGATTAGGTTAACGTCGTACTTATTCTTCATAGCCTTACGCGCATACTTTTGTGTTGTACGAGTTCACGGTCTATCAAAGAGGGTTTTAAGTTGATTCATTCTGTGTTCATCCTTACATTTAATCTTCGTTGTTAGATCGTTATTCATTGCTGTTACAGAAACAGGGACTAACAATGTGCGACAATGAAAGGAAACGAGCGAGGTGATGAGAAGAACGAACGGCAGTTGAAGGTCGTTAAAGAATAACGAACAATAGGGAACGCAAGTAGAAGACAGAGCAGTTGCGGGAAAGGTTTAATTGCGCGCAGGGGTATTTTAGGAATAAGCAACGGAGACTCATTAAAACAGTCCTATTTAGGGAATAAATTAGGGGTTAGTCCTATTTAGGAACTTTCCTATTATTTTAGTCCTATTTAGGACATTCTTATTTACTTACATTATTCAATCAGAATATTAGGAAAAGTGATTTTAAAATCATTAAATTTATTCATAAAAGGGATTCTGTGCATGATTAATTAAAACATAAGAGGGTTTAATGCATTTTTTAAATGACATTGGACTAATACGCTGAATTTCTATATAATGAGGGGTTTGGTTTAAACTGACTGAACTAATTTTGTCCTAAAGAAATTATACTAAATGGGACTAAAACATGGTTAAAACTCCAAAATAGGACTTCAAGGTTTAAATTGCCTAAATGAGACTCCACATTACAGTTTTGCCCTTCTGGGATTAAAACCCCAATCTGCATCGCTACTGACTACATCCCCAACGCAACCACTATATCCGCCATCAGCCTGGGATCAAATCCCTATTCAACATAAAAAATCTCCGATCCATCCTGGGTGCCAACAGCCTCCCTCTCACCACTCCGGCCAGCCAAACCCTCCCAGCGAACCAGACACTGAAGATTCCGTTCATGGATTAACGATGCTTGTTCCAATCGTGATTCTCTATGCTTTCAATGTTGTTCTTAAAAGCTTTGTTGATTTTTAAGATTCAAATAAAAAATTTTATTTGAAACTTTTGGATATGAACTTCACATCCTCTTCAAATCTGGATCCTCTGTTTTCTTCTTCTTTAGATTTCCAAAAAATGACACTTTTTGAATAAGAGAATGTCATTGTTGTGTCATTATTGGTCATTTTTAAAAAATGCCACTTTTATGTCATTACAGTATTTGAAAATGTCATATTGAGAATGTCATGTATCTATACGAAATTGTCATTATTGTGTCATTATGCATATATTAAGTGGCATTCTCGCATATGAAGTGTCATTCCTCATGGAAGTCTACACAGACTCAATGTAGAGTAGATTTTTGTTGGAGAATGATGACATCGTACTTGTTGAGGCATGAAGGTGGTGGCAGACTTGATGGATGGTGGCAGAGCCGCCATTGGTGGAGGAGCCGCCATTGGTGGAGGAGCTGATCTTGGAGGCCTGGAAACGCATAGGGCACACCATTTGCGCAGCAGGGGAATCGCATATGCACAGCAAAGGCCCCTGCGAACTCTTCTTAGTCCTCTTCTTAGTCCTATTTTTATCAAATAAAACACAGTAGTCCTGTTTTTGCAATTCGACCTACTTGTCCTTAGTTTTTGGTTCGGGTCTGGATGAAGGTTGACTGAGCCACTCAGGAGATGAAGGCATAGTCAAAGACGTATCTCTGCATCCTTCTTCTTCCATTATCAACTCACTTCCCGGCTCCAAGAAATCCCCTTACTCGTCTCATGTTTTTCCCAGCATGTCGATCTTCCTTCAATCCAAACATGGAGCAAATTCAGCTCTCCTTGGGGTAATCTTATATTTTCTTCTTAGCTTATCATCGCTTGCCCTTTCTGCAGAGTCCCGTTGCAGTGATGGCTGCGACTTAGCTCTAGCCTCGTACTACGTTCCTCGGGGTTCCACTCTCACCTCCATTTCCAACCTTTTCGACTCAAATGAATCAGATATCATGGCCTACAGCCCAAGAGCAAATATTCCAAACAAGGACAACGTTCTTGCAGAGACTAGGATCAACGTTCCCTTCCCATGCGATTGTATGGAAAACGGCGAGTTTCTTGGTCGTGTTTTCTCGTACCCCGTTAAATCCGGAGACACGTATGATATCGTTGCGAAGACGTACTACTCCAATTTAACCACTGTTGACTGGTTGAAGAGGTTTAACAGTTACCCGGATACTCAAATTCCGGATACAGGGGCGACGTTGAACGTGACGGTGAATTGCTCTTGTGGGAATAAGGATGTGTCCAAGGAATACTCCTTGTTTATTACCTATCCCCTGAGGCCTGGGGAGAGCTTGGCGTCGGTGGCAAATGCGGCTAACGTCAGTCAAGATTTAGTGGCAAGGTACAATCCAGGAGTGAATTTTAATGCGGGGAGTGGGCTTGTTTATATTCCTGGAAGAGGTAAGCGTAGTTTGCAGATGCGTTTATTAGTAAGTGTTTGGAGAGAGTCAATTGCGATGGAAATGAACCATTGATTTTAAAGATTACATCTTTTCTGTGGTGGAGAAGGGGATCCCGATCCATTGGCTAAAAGTTGAGCTTGGGGACCCACATTAATCGAATTGGCCAAGGAGGGTGGAATCCTTTGGCCATGGAGATACACTGGGTCCGTAATAGGCAGTTAGTTGACCGGAAAGTTTCCTCCTTTTATTCTCATTCTTGATTGAAAGATTGTTATGGTGCTTCTGAATATTGTTGCCTGCTAGAAGAATTTGTATTTGTATGCTCACAATTGCTTTTTTGTGCTAAAAGATCACACTCTGACCTGCCTGTCTAGCACCCTAAGGTTAGGTTAACCTTTGTTCATTGGTTTTCTTGCAGATAAAAATGGAGTTTTCCCCCCTATACTGAAAAGGTAATTTTTATAATGTTGTTCTAAATTACAAATTATGCTCATCCTTTTGATTTTTCACACTGTGTGGTGCTATTGTTGACATATGTTTTGTTCGGTTTGCTTGTTCTGCAGCAAAGGTGGCTTCTCATTGTCCAGCTACATATTTGGCTTCTTCATTGTCAATTCATGGACTTAATTCAAAAAAGTTCCAGAAGACTTTTTACTATAGCTTAACTTACACAGTTCCTGTATATAATCAGGACTACCGGCTGCAGCTAAAGCTGGAATATCCATAGCCGCAATCGCAGCAGTATTTTTATTGGCAGGTTATGCTTATGTAGTGTATTTGAGAAAAAAAGGAGAGAAAGTTTCATTGCTGTCAATGTCTGAAAGTCAATCACATTTAACAGGTAATGAGAGTTGTTTATCCCTTTAGTCAGACTTTTAAAAAACAAAGAAAAAACGAATTCCTTCTATTAGTGATTTAGTGCATCTTTTATGGTTTACAATGAATATGCAAATTTCTTTTCATCCAATGATCATGTGCGTACAAGTATGATAAAATTTTAGTTTCTTGGGGGGTTTACACTTTCACAATTTTTACGATTATACTTCTTTTCTATGTTGTGTTCATGTTGGCAGTCGCGGATGCAAAAATTTCCAGCCGGATGGGTGGTAAAGTAATACAGATTATGTACTAGTAATTTATACTACCTCCATCCCATTTTATGTGTCATACTTTGATTTGACACAATTATTAATAAAGTGGTATAAAAAGTTGAAATTGTTGTTCGGATTTGAGTATAATAAAGTGAAATGTTGTAGACCACATATTTCTTTCCAAAAAAGGAAATGTGACACTTATTTTGGGCAACCCAAAGAGGAAAGTAAGATAGATAAAATGGGACAGGGGAGTGTGTGTGTGTGTGTATATATGGATGTATGTATATATATATTAAAATGTTGCAGTAACTATACCTACTTGGATTTTTTGGGTGGGGGCGGCGGCCCCCATTCACTCCCCTTTGTGTGTGCCACTGCATGTTGGGTGTTCGTGGTTGCCTGTATTAGTTATTGGGGTTCTTTCTATAACATATTACTAAAGTAGAACTCTTTAGATAAAAATATGACCACATTCCTACATTATGGTCACTATAGCCTCTGAAAATACAACCACAATGAAGTTTTTCCTTAAATATTACTGAAATAAAATATATGGGCAAAATGTGACTAGTTATTATGAGTATATCATCACGATCACTACAATGTAAATTTGAAAATCATCATGGTCAATCATCAATGATGTTACTATTATAGTTGCTAAAGTATAAACAATCACATTTTTGTCTACTGCCTTCATTTTGGTCATATATTTATCTTTATTTCCACCATAATCACAATAATAAAACATCCAAGCCTTAGTCCCAAAAGAGTTTGGGGTCAGTTCCACCATTATCACTACAACCACTGAACCACTAAAATATCACTATGGTCACTAAGTATTGAAACTCATTTTTCTATGTGTATATTTTGTCATTATTTTTTAGTCATTTTCTTGAAACGGATTATGTAAACATCCTTTTCGAAACATCCCTTCATTTCAATGGGAGGTATTATTCTTCTGTTACCTCAATGAAAGGTTCCTTATTATTCTTCTTTAACAAATTTATAAATAAGTGGATGCATGTCTCGTTGGCCTCAATGAATAAATTCAAATTTTAAGAGCTTCAAGAATTTGAATGAATCAGATGTAAAATTTTTCAGCAAACTGATCAGTATTAATATATTTCTGAGGTTAGGGCTTAAAGATGGAGATCCCGCTCGTGCTACTGGTGGAGCTTCTCCAGTCCTTTCAGGCATAACTGTTGAGAAATCTGTTGAGTTCTCATATGAAGAGCTTTCTAATGCAACTAATGACTTCAGTCTTGCAAATAAGATTGGCGAAGGTGGCTTTGGTGCTGTCTACTATGCTGAGCTTAGAGGCGAGGTTTGTGGTTGTTATCATTCTGATTTTTTTATTGGGTTAATTTTACTTGTTCCCTTTTTGGTAAGAAGAAGAGAGTCGAGAGACACTTGGCATTTGTGCCTCATCTTTACATCAAGATTTAACTTTGCACTCCATAAACTGTTTTCTTTTACTTTGCATCCTAGAGCTTTCTAGAGTTTTTTTTTAAAGGGAAAAGGGTCCAATAGATTCTTCTACTTTGCATCACTTTTTTTCAGTCTCTTATACGAAAAGAAGTATCATACAAGTTCCTTTACTTTAAAAATACAATCAATCAAGCCATTTGACCTGCTATAGCAGGTTGTTTTTAAAATATAAATTAAGACTATTGATAAATCTTATAAATATTCTTATAAATTTGAAAATTAATTAAATAATAAGTATAAAAAAATTATAAATGCAAAAATAGAAATAATTTAAAAAACGTAAAACTAAAAAATAAATAATCAAAAAATTGAAAAACATTAAGTGAAAATGTAGAAAATATAAAAATAAAAAACGTAAGAATCTTTTAAATAGATATATAATATACAATTAATTCAATAAACGCATAAATATTGGCTTTGACATTCTTAAAATTTTCACATATTTTATTTATATTTCTTCGAACTTTAACCATTTTTAGATTTTGTTAATATAAAAAATGCTATTATTGGTCAAAAACTGATTAAATGGCTGGATTGATCAATTTTTTTAAAATAAGTGTACTTATATGATACTTTTTAGTATAGGAGCTTAAGTGATGGACTGGAAATAGTAGAAGGGTCTATTTGATCCTTTTCCCTAAGTAGAACATGGGTCACAGAATCAAATATTAGGGTAAATGTTGGTGTGAATACCAAATATCCCCTGAAAATGAGTTCTCCTAGTTTATCAACAAATACCATTTTGGAACTGATTAGGAGGGGTCAAGTCTTGAAATATATCTGGCAGTTACTTCACTATTCTCTAACAAGTGAATATTTGAGACTTCGTTCATTAGTGCCTTTGCAGCTTACCTACCTAACTATTTGTACTAGGCATTTCAAAACCTTTTTTTCTTCTGAATGTTTATCACTTCTGTTATCTTTTTATTTATTTATTTATTTATTTATTTATTTATTTATTTATTTATTTATTTATTTATTTATTTATTTATTTATTTATTTATTTATTTATTTTCCTTGACATCGTCTTGCAGAAAACAGCTATTAAGAAAATGGATATGCGAGCATCAAAAGAATTTCTTGCTGAACTGAAGGTTTTGACACATGTCCATCACCTGAATCTGGTACTGTCAAGGGTGTCATTTGTTTTTGACAAATATGCTAAAAGTATATGTTGCATGTAAGGTGTAAAAAAGAACCAACAAAGGTTGGATTACAGAGTTATTTTTTGAAATTTAGACACTATTAAATGTAGGTTCGCTTAATAGGGTACTGTGTGGAAGGTTCACTCTTCCTTGTATATGAGTATATTGAGAACGGCAACTTAAGTGAACATCTGCGCCGTACAGGTAAAGAATTTTTTCAGGAATTTTATTTTATTTATTATTATTGCAGCGGTGGGGGTGGAGAGTACCTATTAATCACTTGATGCATATAAATGCAGGTAGGGACCCACTACCATGGTCAACTAGGGTGCAAATTGCCCTGGATTCAGCCAGGGGTCTTGAGTATATACATGAGCATACAGTTCCAGTATACATCCATCGTGATGTTAAATCAGCAAATATCTTAATAGACACAAACTTCCATGCAAAGGTATCATAAAAGCCCCTAATTTCAGATTTGGAAATCATCATCATTATCCCAGTGCCGCAAAGGCTCCCACCTACGGTGGGGTAAGGGGGGTCGGATGTACGCAGTCTTACCCCTGAACTAAAGCACGGATTCAGGTTTTTCCATATGGTAATTCGTATGTGGCGTCATGCTGGATAGTTTTTCATGCTGGATAGTTTTTCCATGATTCAGGTTGCTGATTTTGGTTTAACAAAACTGACTGAAGTTGGAGGTTCATCTTTGTCAACACGTCTAGTTGGTACATTTGGATACATGCCCCCTGAGTTAGTTCTACACTGCTATCTCTCTTTTAGGGCGTGACTTTTTTTTTCTTTTTTCGTTTATATTGTAGAAAGAGGTTTATAAGTTACTTTTTGGTAATTGCCATTACCTATACAGAGCTCAGTATGGAAATGTCACCCCTAAAGTTGATGTCTATGCATTTGGAGTTGTTCTTTTTGAGTTGATTTCTGCCAAGGATGCTATAGTTAAGGCACATGGTTCTGTAGGTGACTCAAAGGGCTTAGTTTCTTTGGTGAGTTCTGTGTCCATACTGTTTAAGTGTTTAGCCATCCTGCTTAGGACATATAAAAAAATGCAAAAAGAACATGTCTTAAGCTACTCATCCTTTCAGGCGCACCCATGGGTGGATATACACCAAGGGCGAAGGCTATGTTGGGGTGAAGCTCAGGGAAACCTAGTTTTTAAAATTTATTTTAGTGTTAAATGTTGTTTCCTACAATCACTTTTCAGCTCATCCCAACATTAGATCTACCTCTGCACCCACCTTGCAATTAGAGGAATATATATTGACTAATTTTCCCTTTATACCATTTTTTTGCACCTGTAATCTATGGTGCAATTGTTGGTGTAGCCCATGAACCTATTGTTCCTTGTTTGTTTGTGTACCAAAAATGATGTGATTGTTTTCTTCCCATAAATCACAGTTTGAAGAAGTTCTTAGTCGACCAGAGCCAGATGAAGCCTTCAGCAAACTGGTTGACCCTAGACTTGGGGAGACCTACCCTATGGAATCTGCCCGCAAGGTACATTAATCTTTAACTTCATTTTCAGTTGGGGTCATTTTGGATTGGAAGACTTTGGAGGGTCTAGTCTATATCTTGAAGACTAATGCACTCCATAATCCCCCATCCAAACAAATCCTTAATTACTATACTTCTTTGCTAACTACAAAGAATATCATCTATCTTGTCCTTACCTGGCATTGGCAGCTGGCACAGCTTGCCAAAGCTTGCACTCAAGAAGATCCTCAAATGAGGCCTAGTATGAGATCTGTTGTTGTTGCTCTAATGACACTCTCGTCCACCACGGATGAATGGGATGTTGGCGCCTTTTATGGTAACCAAGGAATGATAAATCTAATGTCTGGAAGGTAGTGATATGGTTATATCAGCATTTCGGTCTGTTTAGAAATTTCTTACACTTGTATCATTGCATTATTTATTTATTACCACATTCTTATTTGTACATAATACTCTAATAGTTTTCTGGGTGAAACAACTGTAAGAGTGTGAACAATGCAATTGTGGCGTAATATTCACTCAATTTTTAAAATAGAAGTCATTTTCTTCCATGCAATTGTGGTTGTTGTGATGTTGAAAAAGACAAAGTTATTTTTTTGTTTGTTTGTTAACTATTATCGCCTTGCATTTCTGGAAAAGACTAGTCACTAATGACTATATAATGTTCGAAAATACTCTCGGTTTTTCAATAGTTACATTTTTGGCTGAAGGTTCGGGACTTCGGGTGAGACACTGAGAGTCTGAGACCTACGGGTTGTAAAATTAAAAGACAACACTTCATATAAATTTATTCCTCATATTTATCGTCATCTCCAACTCTATAATGAGATCATTTAGGGAAGAGCAAATTTGACCCTACCCGATTGACCTGATCGGATATATCTGAAATTTTTGTTTGAATTGAAAAACCCGACCCAAAATACCCCAAACCTGAACTGATTCTTGCAGCCCGTGACTTAAGTGGGTAGCGGGTATGGTTATAAATTAGGCTACCCGATCTGTCCGACAACCCGAACTAGCGTAGTATATACTTCGTATACTATTTTGAATTAAGCGTGTTAAAATATCTCAATTATTGTATGCCAACTATAATATTATGCATGTCCAAATTTTCCAATTACCGTATTTGTACAATAATAACTTTGAATGTTGTATTGTTAGGACTTTGAATGATATTTTGAATTATCATTTTATTTATCATAATATCAGATATGCCAATCATCGTAGATTATTATTTTACATGTTCAAATATATCGATTACCGTAATTGTACAACTATTACTTTGAATGTTATACTAGTATAACTTTGAATAATATTTTTACCAATTACCATTTTATTTATCACAATTTCAACAATAATACTACCTCCGTTCCCATTTTAACTTCCAAATGGGTTTGGCACAAAGTTTAAGATAGTGGATATTGTGTGGTGGAGAGTTATGCAGAAGAGAGAAATGTGTAAGAAATGTTGTGAACCACAAATTCTTTACCAAAAAGGGAAAGTGGAAGTTTTAATTGGAACAGACGAAAAAGGAAAGTTGGAAGTTTATTTAGGAACGGAGGGAGTAATAAATTAAAATCTGAATGAACCCGAAAACTGAATCAACCCGACCGCAACCCGAACTTCTTCATCCCGAAAAACCCGATAATTTTTTTGATAGGGTAGGCTGTGAAATTATCAATCCGATAACCGAACGGGTTTACAAATTTTGAACCCGACCTGACCGAACCCGACATGTGCTCTACCCTAAGATCATTTGTAATGAGATCATTTGAGATCATTTTGTGGTATCATGTATTTCCAAACTAGGATAAAGGAGGATAGTGTATGGTAGGTGTGCGATAGCTAATACTAGGGATGGACTCGGGCCAGGTTAACCGGCCCGAACCGGTACTGTTACGGCCCGGACCAGATCGGTACCCGATTATGTGTCCCGTTCGGACCACTCGGCCCGACATTGTAGAGGACAGGTTCCCAGGCCTCCCAAATCACGAACCGGCCCGGCTAGTTCGGGCCATTTTTTTGTCACATTTTCTAAAAGGTAAATGGGTTGGGCCGGGTGTTTTGGAGGGGTTTGGGGTGTGCGGGGGAGGAAGTAATTAGAAAAAAAAATAGGATACCCGACCCGGTAACCGCCGGGTGAACCGGCCCGACCCGACCCGATAACCGCCGGGTGAACCGGCCCGACCTGGGCCCGGAGCTACCCGGGCCGGTTCCGGGCCTCACTTCTCCAAAAAGAAGCCCGGTCAGAACCGGACCAAGGCCCATCCCGGCCCGAACCGAGTCCATGCCTAGCTAATACTCTCTTCGTCCCACTAACAATGAGACAAGTGAGAGTGACACGCAAACTAATAAAAAGTGGTTTATCAGGCTGATATTGAATTGACAAAGTAAGAATGATTTATCACCACGCAAACATTACCAAATTTGGTATGAGACAATTTTAGTGGAACAGACGGAAAAGTAAAATGAGATAATCTTAACGGGACGAAGAGAGTACTAGATAGTACGTACTCCCTCCGATTCACAAACAAGTTCCACATTTGACTTTACACATATTAAGAAAATAAATTTGACTTTACTGTAGAGTGCACTGTTTGGCACTGTTTGAACACTGTTTGACACTGTTTTGATGTAGATAATTTGCCAAATGAGGAAATGTTTGAAAGTGGAACTTAATTTTGAATCTGCCCGAAAAGGAAAGGTGAAACTTGTTTCAGAAACGGAGGGAGTATAATTTAGTCACCCCTCAATCTCATGATTTGTTGATCCCAAATTCTATTATGACCAAGGCTTGTATGTTGTATTTATTGTCATTCTAAGTTAAAACAACTCCCCTCCATCTTTCTAAGAGTTTCCCGTGTTGATCTGTGTCACTACTTTTGTTTCGTACGGAGTATTATATTTGATAAAAATATTTGGAAAAATAGGTAATGTTAATCCCAACTATACCCGGTCTGCTTTTAATAATCCTTAATATAGATTATTTTCCTATAGTCCCAATTTTGGGCCCCATTTTCTTAAAACACTCCCTTACCGGTTAAAATGAGTTATAACCGGCTAAGTAAACACGTGCAACGCATCCCTCTTATCTTCTTCGTCGTCCACCGATTAAACCCATCCCTCTTATCTTCTTCGTCGTCCACCGAAATGAAAGGAGTACAGAGTCAAGAAAATAGAACGGTGAACTCTTCTTCCTCTCATCTTTTCAACCGCGACCCAAGAAATCAACCAACGGGATACGACGGCGAAATGAGTTCGATTTATGGGTCATCTTCATGGGGTAGAAGGACCGAAAGCACTCGTTTTTCAAATCAGTGCTACCACAGACTATTTTGTGGACCTAGAATGATGAAAAACGGGCCAAATACTGGGAGACAATTTTATGGGTGTGCATTATGGCCTGTAAGTTATTTAGTACTCCTAAGAATCTCTCTTTTGCTAATCAGAACTTCCGTAACTTATTTTGTGAATTAATTGATGAGTTATTTTGTTGATTTCCAGAAAGAAGATTGTCATTATTTTCAATGGGTTGATGAAGGAAATCGTCCTTGCAAAGAAGACAACAGAAATGATAAGGAAATGTTGTTGGAGCATGTTTTTAGCAACAGAAATGAAGGACAAAAAGCATTAGAGGAGAAGATTGTTAGGTTGAAATTGAAGAAAAAGATGGTGGAAGCTAAAAATCAGGAAATGCAGCTACTCATTACCAAAAATTTGAAGTCCCAAAGAATGACATTCATTGCTATTGTTGCCTGTTGGATCTGGTTTTGCATTGTGTTATACTATAAGTAATTTGGGGGTGTGGATGTTTTGAGAGTTCTAGATATGTGTATTAGCTGTATTGTGATGTAATGTGTAGTGGATGTTTTGATGGATTGGTCATTGGATAATACTTCTGAGAGGGATTAGAGTTTTCTCAGATAACTTTGTTGCATTGTAATGTGTAGTGGTTGTTTTGATGCATTTGGTTTTGTTCTGGTGTAATGTTTATGTAATGAAAATGTGTTATTGTTTTGACATGAACTACCTATTTTAACATGAATTGTTTGTACATGTAAAAGCACACATACTAAACTGAACAATAATCATATCTTAATGTACATGCAAATTGTGATTCCAAACTTGGAAGTAAAAATGAGACTTAGAAGTCTGTTTTGATAAGTTCACAATAATGAACTTTTTGGAAACAGCATCTGGTTTCAAACTAACTTGGAAGTAAATATGAGAACCACATATCTGGGAACAAACCACATATCATTGAACATGAACAACCCACAGACTTAGAAGTCTGTTTACATAAAAGTTCAAAATATTAAACATTACAAAGGTTCCAAATACTACCAAGTCTTCAAGCAAGTTGATAAAAAAGGACTAACAAACACACCAAGTTAAGTCATTACAAAGCTTTGAAATACAACAAAGTCTAGAATCACAAAACATCAACTTCTTGTCTGCAACGTATTACATAATAACAATACTAAACATCAACTTCTTCTCTGCAACTTTGGACTGCAACTTTGGACAACAACCTAAGGAAATGAAGGACCAACTGAAGGCTCTGATAGATAACTTGGACCAGCTTGGCCGGGAGGCTGTAAACACAAAAAATATAATAACATTATCAGAATAATAACTCATAAAAGTAATGCAATAATGAGTTACAATAGCTAAAAAATACTTACATTAGTCCAGGTGTTGCCTTCTCCATCAACAAAGACTCCAAAGTCTACAGAAATTTGACCCTTACCTCTGCCTCTTCCAAATCTCCCTCTCCCTCTTGTTTCCCCGGGTCTGCTGCCTCTACCAGTTGTGTTACTTCCTCCTCTTGCTTGAATAAGTCTTCCTCCTCTCCCTATTCTTGTAGGTTGTGCAGTGGTTTGATAAGTGCTTTGTTGTGCTTCTGCATTTTGGATAGCTTTCTTGGGCCTGTCCCTGCTTTTCTTTTGTACAGGTTGAGCTTCCTTGTTTTTATCCGGGCATTTTCTCTTGTTATGATCTTTGGACTTGCACACACTACATGACATCTCAACATCATGTTTTGTTAATTTTCCTGGCTTCTTAGGGTTTTCATGGGGAGACTTCATTCTACTTTTCCTAGGTCTACCTGGCCCAATCTTAATAGGTGGAGGGTCTATTGGCATATCAACCTTGGGCCAATGTCTCTCTCCAGTTAGGGGTGCAATACCCCCTGAGTACATTTTCAGATAAGTGTCCTTGGTGTAGCAGGTATGCACATAGTTCTCAGGAGTCTCATTCATGAAGAAAATGCAAGAAATGGCATGACAACATGGTATTCCACTCAAGTCCCACTTCCTACAAGTGCAGGTTCTAGCCTCTAAATTTACTGTCAAACAATCTAATCTGTGACACACTTGGAATAAAACATGTGCCTTCCTTGTAATTGGTTCAGTTCCACTCACAGCAGCTGAACTTCTTGAACTCCCTTTTACCCCATCATTAACCCATTTTTCAGTAGCCCCCCCTTCATTTTCCCCACCACCTTCAAGTAGTAGCACCAATTCTGGTGAGCTTAGTCCATGTCTTATATAGCAGTCAATGATCTTATATTTCATAGCTACTTTGTACATTTTCCTGACCTCATCATCAAGCTTAACTCTTCTCAAACCGTTCTGCAGACTTTGACCAGGAATCAAGTAATAAATGTCATCAATACTGCTGCATTTTCCATAATTACCAGCTAACTCTTCTAACCAAAACCAGCACAACTCATCAGCATCAATTTCAAAACATTTGTATTCACCATCTACGTACTCCAACTTTTTCAGATTGTTATTCTTAAAGATACCTCCATGCCACATCTTAATTGTAATGACAGTTGAACTATCCATCTCAATTCGTACCTAAAAACATGATATGCAGTTCACGACTCAACATAAAAATTCAACACACTGATATAACCCTAAATAACACTGACATTTCATGAATCAGCATAAAAGTTCAGGTCTTTACCTTGGACTGTGAGAACCATGCACAAGACAGTCTGGGTACCTGGAGTTATTCTGATTTCTTCACCTACTTACCGACGACTATGACGACGGTGCAAGACAGTCAAGGTGCTGGTGGTAGGTGACTATTCCTCCAAGTTCATGTTCTACGGCTGTGATGGTAGGTGAGCAAATATGTTTGGTATGAGAATGGAGTAATGACATGGCTGTTAGGATGTTTAACACTTTAATTTACTGATACTACCGGTCTTCGGTGTAGCGGAGTGTTTTAAGAAAATGGGGCCCAAAGTTGGGACTATAGGGAAATAATCTATATTAAGGATTATTAAAAGCGGACCGGGTATAGTTGGGATTAATATTATCTATTATTCCAATATATTTTGTGATGACCAAATTGAAAGAACACCAATAAAAACATATAAACACAAGTGGGGATAGAGTATTTTGTGTTTTTAAAGTGTAAAAAAAGATACTCCGTACTTTATATATAGGACGGTTATTATTATTTATCTTAATTAAGTACAAAAAATAGACCTTACAAATGAGGCACAATATTGCAGCGAAGCAAAGAACAGTTAAATACTCAACTTATACGTAGTATTAGGTAAGTTAGGGGTGGCCAATTTGGTTTATGACTCGTTTTTTATATGTTTAGATTCGGTTTCAGTATTAGGTAAGTTAGGGGTGGCCAATTTGTATCAATCTAAAATCATTGTATTTCGGTTTGGTGCCTGTTCGATTTGCGAACGGTTTATATGGCTTAGGAGATATTGTATCAATCTAAAATCATTGTATTTCGGTTTGGTTTCAAATTCAAATTACTAAAATGAAAATGATTTGTTTGAATTTAGTTCGTTTTGATTCGGTTTCATATGTTTATGGGTTTATTTGATCATTACATTCAAGTTCTTTTTTACAAATAGAAGATGAAAACAATTGTCCACCGCACCTTGTTGTATTTATTATATAAATACAATGTGAAAGAAAATAAAAGATAGAAAAATAATACTGCTTTCGTCCCACTAACATTTAGATATGAGGAGGTGATTCATTATTTAAAAAGTGTATTTATGTGGTTTATATTAAATTGATAAAGTAGAAATAAAGTTAAAATGATTTAGATTCACAAAAACTTTACCAAATTTGATATGAAACAATATCTTAGTGGACGAACCAAAAAGTAAAGAATAAACAATCTTAGGAGGTCAAAGGGAGTAAATATTAACACCTAATTTGTTTTATGAGGATTGTTGACATGAAAAAGTCTAGCATTTTCTCAACCACTAGAAAAAGATTTACCTCTCAAAAGTTAGGTTTATACTCCGCAGTTGATTAACATTTATTTTTTTTGATACATTGGAAAAGAAGTTGATTAGCATTTATAACATCACATCAAAGATTCAAAGAAAACGATTTTAGGTGCATTAAAGTGTTGTAAAATTCATATTTTCATGTCAATGAATCATGTAAATAGTATATTACTCTAAATTAGTTGAAACTGGTATAAATGCATTGTAACATTGTCTGATCAGAACAGAAAAATAAAAATCAAAGGAATAAATTTGTTGCCCAGATAATCAACGATATAAATCGTTGCCCAGAGGCAAAAGGCTAAATTCCAATTTTATTTCAAGATAAGCAAGACTGAACTCCGGCAAGAGGTGCAAATAACCTTCTAGTAAGAGATCCAACAAAAACCCTAATCAAGCCCAAATTAATTAAACCTTAATTAGGGCCACATTAACTCTACTAACTACTCTACTAATAATAGGCTCAAACTAGAAAACATAACATAAACTTTATATTAACAAATAGAACTATAATCCTAGCCCACAACCAGCCCACAGAGGTGGGCCCAAGCCCGTTCACGCGCCTTGATCTCTCTGCTCTCTATCAATCCATCCTCCTTGGAAACAACCTTGTCCTCAAGGTTGAAATTCAGAGACCGGTTCACATTTGTCCCCAGGGGCTGCCCAGTATCTTTAGAAAAGCTGCCATGCGATCCTTTCAGCCCACTCATGAAATACCCCAAATAATGATCGTCAGATAGCCTTTGGACTTAACTTGTTAGTTGAACAAAAATTGAGATGTACCCCTCCACAGTCCTTGTCTGCTTGACTCCAGACAGTCGTTCAAAGCGATTGCCCTTAAACCGTGAGTCAAAACGAGCCATCAACGCTGTGTCACTGTGTAAGCTCATCCCATGATATGCCCGACTTTCATGCCCATAACCGGGTCAACCACTATACAACTTATCCTTTCATCACAACTACATCGGCTGCCACCTTCTTTCCCAGTTGAGTACCGTTCAGTTCGAACTGTTGCTCAACCCTATCAACCCACCCGATCAGGTCTTCTCCGTCAAACGAGTGCAACGTCGTGAGAGAGATGCTGCACAATCCAGTTCCGAACGTGGATGCCGCTGCCGCGTTGAGTGAAGCCACCACCAATGAATGCTCCTCCATCGCCAGCGGCGAGAGAGCCTTTGTGAGCACATCCAAGGAGGCTGCGATATCCGCCAGTTGGATTCCTTGTGCGTCTAGTTTCGCTCCCTGCACGACTACACATCGAGTTTCTGGTTCATCAAAACCTGTTCAGCCTCCGTCTTTGACAAACATTCTGTGATTGATCTCGTCATTCCGGCGGGACGGGATCTGACGGATCAGACCAATTGATGAGAACAGAAAAATAAAAATCAACGAAATAAATTTGTTGCCCAAATAATTAACCATATAAACCGTTGGCCAGAGCCAAAAGGTTAAACTCCAATTTTATTTCAAGATAAGCAAGACTCAACCATGGCAAGGGGTATAAATAGTCCTCTAGTAAGAGACTCAGAAACCCTAATCGAGTCCAAATTAATCAAACCCTAATTAGGCCTGCATTAACTCTACTAACTACTCTACTAATAATAGGCCCAAACTAGAAAACATAACATAAACTTTATATTAATAAATAAAACTATAATCCTAGCCCACAATATCATTGTCTTTGACAATATCTTTTCATACGGAGTACAAAAATAACAAATGCCATGTATGATGTTTTTAAATATTAAAATGATATATGCAATGTTCATTTCTAAGTTATTTATTTATATCATAAAGATAAATAGTTAAGACAAATACAATACATTTTAATAAATATTAAAAAATGTTCAGTTCAATTGACAATTTTTCTATTTAAAAATAATTAAAATCATACCAAATCAAACTATTTAGTTTGAACAAATTGTTACCAAATACTCCGTAGTTTACTTCAATGAACCCAAACCAAACCAAACCAAACCAAACCAAAGTCCCAATTTTCAGTTTGGTTCAATTCAACTGAATCAAACCGTTTTGTCCATCCCTAACTTAAAATAGAACACAAATTGAACTACAATTTGAGGCAGGGAGCAATGCTAAAAATGATAATTATAACAATAGCCTACAAATAAATATAACTGGTGCTGCAGAAAACAGCCCTGCATCGACCAACTCAGGGCTGGGATCAGAGTAGCAGTGGTGTTCCGGTCCATCTTTTTGGGCTTTTGGCAAATGTATACAGAATATGTAGGTGCACGGAGCAGATAAACATAGGCACTCTTTCTTCCTTGTGAAAGAAGCAAAGATAAGAATGTGTGGGTAACCATGTGGAATAGCATAATTAGCTTAGATCAGTTGTTTTGGTGAACGGCGATTTGGTGAATGTCCATATCCTTCAACATAACTGCTCGGCCACATGAATCGCAAGGGGCTGTTCTTGACCCGCACAAACTCTCGTGCTCTGTAAGTCCTCTAAGCCGGTCTCTTGCATTTACCGTGGCTGAATTCCCAGCTTGAACCATGTCTCCACAGAAGCGGCATGTAATCAACCGCAAATGGCACTCAAACGATTGATGTTGCATCTGTTCCTCGGAGAGGTAGGAGGGCAATTACAATCACAAAATAATAATGATGATGGTGGTGGTGATGACGATGATGATGATAGTAGTAGTAGTAATTACGATAGTATTAAATATGCTTTTCGTTCTGTAAAAAAATGTTTTTCGTTTCTGCAAATATAATGCTTCTCTCTTTGATACTACGTATAGTTTTTCGTCTCAATAAAAGAATTGCTATTTCTCATTAGTCCCTATCCATTCACATTCATTTTAAAAAACTCACGGTCCCCCACGTTGCTCGGAAATGGTTTCTCCACTTCATTTTTAAATGCTTAATACTATATTCCCAGAGGTGTAATTTGAAAGTTGGAATGCTGACTTTCGTTAGGCCACAACTTCCACATAGTAATAGTCACTGATGTTTTAAATTTTTTTTGAATGATGGGGAAATGAAATACAAAACATTTTTAAAAAATGAAGGGAAAAGTTCAAACTAGAGTGTCTGCGAGCAACATCTGTTTCTTTTAAAAAAGTTATTGATGGTGAAGGACTGAAAAGAACTATAACTATAGGAGTGGGATAAAAATTACATGGACCTCAAACAAATACTCCTTCTGTCCCAGCCTAAGGCTATCACTTTCCTTTTTTGGAGGTCCCAACTAAAGGTTCTCATTTCTTTTTAGGAAAGAATTAACACTCTTAAATGACAATTTAATTATCAAATATTAAAAATAATACATCTATAACATCACAATTATCATCAAAAACCCCATTATATTATATACCCATCAAAACTATTTCTCAAAATATACTTGAATTCCCTTATTTAATTATTGTCTAAATTATTGTGTAAATAATTGTGTCATTTTACAATGAGAACCTTTAACCAGGACGGATGTAGTAAAAACGATGTATTGGCCAAAATGAAGGAACATGATTAAGCCTAATAATAGTAGCATGATAATGATAAGAGGCTACCATAAGTCAATAATGTCAAATTGTGTGCATGACTACAATAACTTGAAAAGTGAAAACATGCAAGGTTGGTATGAAAATCAATACTTATGAAATCAAATCATATACCAGTTTAGAAAATAACTAGGGAGTACATTCTTACCATCATTACTTTCTCAAGGACAACACCACACGGGCAAGCAAGTGGCTCATGGAAAACTTTTACATGTTTCTCCATCTCTTCTTTTTGAAAAGCTTGTCCACATTTCCCACAGTGGACATGGTTCTCTGCCTCTTCTTTCCTAAGAACAATCCCACAATTGACATACTGACACACTACATTGTGCCTTGCACAGTAAACCTCATGTAGCGCTATACTTCTGGAAGGTATGCAATGCTTGCAATTCCGGCATTCAACAGTGTCCATTGTCTCAGCATGTGATGTTTGTCGTCCCACCTTTGACTTCAACTTGTCTTGAACAGCCACTGAAAGTGAAAACTTGGTAGTTCCCTTGAAACCATAAACGCCAATAGTGTAAGAACCTACTCCCAAGCCTTGGGAACCAAGAACCAAGGATTTCGAACCGACATCATGGGATGACCATCCGTGTTGATGTTGTGTTGGGAATAACAGCGGGTGACTGGAAACATACAAATCAGTGTCTCCATCATCTGCTGTCGAGTCTATCTTCACCTCTATCTCAGCATCCCCAGAGGAAACCCTTGCCCAAGTGCCTTCATCTAATGAGAATTTATAGTATGTATAGTTTCCCTCCTCAATGACTCCACTTTCTGGCTTCCCAAATGTTAGAGGTCTTAGTATAGGTTGACTTGTTGTGGTTCCATTTGAAGTGGGGTCCGCACCCATTACATCAACCTCTATATCTGTGTCCAGAACAGATACACTGGAAGTAGGTTTCAACTCAAGAACACGTAAATGGTATGTCAGTACACCGTGTGTAACAGTGAGAATGTCTCCTTCCGATAGTGTGGCGTGTTGTCGAAGGCTTGTTTCAAGAACAGCCTTGTGGTTAGGGATGTCGGAGAACCCTGTTTCAACAGGCTGAAGTCTGGCATAAGTTCCTTTTGGTAACCACACATACCTCACTTCAATTGTAGGAGAAGTGGGGTGTTCAGCAGGGAATAGATTAGTCCATATGTGAGGGGGGAGTTGTGTGAAACCCTCCTCTGCAGTGAACTCCAAAACACCAGCATGTGTTTCATTGTTTCCATTTGAGGGAATGTTTTGATGAATCACAGACAAAGAGAAGTGTAGAGGTCCTTTCTCAAAGGCACCTTGTTCAGATAATTCTGTAAAACAAGATGATGGCAGTTTTATTTTATCTCCACTCCCATGATAAGGCACAGCTTCTAAAACACGGCAAAAAACGATTCCACGTCCAGCTATAAGGTTTTCCTCTGTTTGCTGGTTTGCCTGAAACAGACATTTGCAATTCTTAATTATACATATATGATGAACATGCAGAAACACACAGGAATGTGCATAGACACCAATGTTCTGAAAAACACTAATCAGCTTCTAGATAGTACACTAGCGCCCAGGAGAGGATTTCTAGAGCACTTATAGATGCACAACCCACACAAATTGAACTCTTTTATCCCACTTTTCTTTTGTACTGGTTGGTATCATATTTATATATTCTTGACCTCTTTTAGAATATAGAGCGATCAGAATGACTAACACAAATAAGACAACAAACATGAGGTAGAAGATTTGATCCACACAAACACGTGTTAATGTGTCAATTTAGTACACAGTAATACTCTGAAATAGTAATAATTATAAAATGAGACAATGTGAAAGAAAATGCCTTCGAGGTTTGCCATTTTTGTACGGAAGGGAGATAAAGTGAAAACTATATTTTTTCATGTGCAGTTACATTACTCATGTATGGCTTGTTACAGTGAAAATGCAAAAAATAGAGCTACATGTCCAGAATAAAAGCATGGTATGGACATAACTACCATAGTTTATGAGTTAGGAAAATCTATTGGTAGGATTACTGTGGGTTCCCAGATAATCCCAAACAATTACATTTGTTTCCATTTTCCTATTACTAGTATATTAGTATCTTGTAGTATACAAACAACATCCAAGCCTTAGTCCCAACAGATTTTGGAGCATTAGTATCTTGTAATCTTGTGAGACTTGAAAAAGGCTAATGTATAAACTATGATGGTTTATGATCTGATATTATTAGTATTTGTATCTTTTCATCTTTATCTCGATCATTCTAATCTGTTATCAGTAAAGGGAAGGAAATTGAACACAAGAATTCAGGTCAACTAGTAGTAGTTCTGAGAATAGTTGCATTTAGATTATAAGATAGATGAGTACTATGCACGCGACAAAGCAAATCCAGAATCACAATAATTGGAACACAGTTAAGACAGTACTAAAATGAACGCAGATATACCGATCATCAAATAGTACGCGAGTAAACACAAAAAGGAGAGATATTCAGAAAAAAATCAGAGAAAAAGCAGAGAGAATATATACCTTAGCTTCGGCTTCAGCAGCATGAAGACGGCGAGCGCGTTGGGCGGCTTCAATTGCTTCCCGTTGCAGGATAGCCTCTTGTTTAAATTTCCTCTCCCTCTCCAATTTCAACTTGGCCTTCTCTTTCCTCTCCTTCTGCTCTCTTTCCAGCTTCTCTCTCGCTCTTCTCAACTCAAAATCCATATTTTTGCCCTAAAATGTTCCAATTTCTCCTTTCCAGTGTTGATCTCGCGAATCTTATGCAAGGGATTCGGCAGCGATGGTGAATTTCATATGGATTTCCGATGTCTTGAGGGAGAAGGATTATGATGTCATCCCTGAGCTATAATTTGGTGCATTAGTTTTTATTTGAATTATTTTGAGTTTGAGACGAGATTCCAACGATTGAAACCACACCAAATTATTTTAGATGAGACTTAAACGTAACATATTAGACTACAATAATAAATTTGAATTCAAGTAAAAACATTATAAACATATCACTATTGTATGTTTTTATTGCACTTTTTCGTGATGACAAAAAGTTTTGATTTATTTACAAAATTGTCATCCTGTATTTATATCAGAATTAGTCCACAAAATTTATTCTCACTTTGCATGACAGACATCTTTGTATTTGAATCATTCACTTATATTATACTACTTTCGTCCCAGAATTAGATCGATTCATGTTAGCCGACCCCAAATTCTTTTGGGATTAAGACTTTGATGTTGTTGTTACACACACACACACACACACACACACACACACACACATATATATATATAGGGAAGAGATCAAAAGAGGTTCTCCCGTGCAAAGTACGAACAATTGCACTTTTTCTTCACCGTGTTGCACTTTTGCGTGTTTCTATTGCAGTTTTACGCGATGGCAAAAAACTTCATTTTAATTACAAAATTGCCACCGCGTTTTTGATCAAATTTAGTTTACTTTTGGCTCATTTTGAGCCATTAGAGCTCAAAATGAACGCACGAGATTAATTCTCACTTTGCATGAGAAGACCTCTTTGTATTTGAACTCTCCCATATATATATATATATATATATATATATATATATATATATATATATATATATATATATATATATATATATATATATATATATATATATATATATATATATATATAGGTTTTGGTTCAAATAAGAACATGATCTTAGGAGAGAAATGAGAACGAATCTGGACCGTTAGATTTACTTTAAGTGAAATTCAATGTGCATTAGATGAAACTGTAATGTGCATTATGTAAAATTGAAATGTGCAACACAAAGCGTATGATACAATGTCATTAAGTGAAGCTGAATTGTGCATTAGATGAAATTGAAATGTGCACTAGGTGAAACTTAAATGTGCAGAATAAAAGGTATGATGTGACGTTATTTTTGTACATTTTATTCCGCACATTTCAGTTTCACCCAATGCACAATTGAGTTTAAATTTTTATTCTGCATATTTCAGTATCATGTAATACACATTTCAGTTTCATCAAATGCACATTTCCGTTCCACATAATACAATCCAACGGTCCAGATTCGTTCTTATTTCTCTCCTAGGAGTCCGTTCTTACCGGAACCACTCCCTATATATATATATATATATATATATATATATATATATATATATATATATATATATATATATATATATGGAAGAGTTCAAATAAAAAGAAGTACTCCCGTGCAAATTGAGAACATTTGCACTTTTTCCTCACCGCGTTACACTATTTCATGTTTCTGCTGCACTTTTTCGCAGTGGCAGAAAACTTTGGTTTATTTACGACATTGCCACCACGTTTTTTATCAAATATATTGCATTTTTGGCTCATTTTGAGTCATTAGATCTAAAAATGAATGCACCGAATTAATTCTCACTTTGAATGGGAAGGCCTCTTTGTATTTGAACCATTTTCTCTCTCTCTATCTCTCTCTCTCTCTCTCTCTCTCTATATATATATATATATATATATATATATATATATATATATATATTAGAGATCAAATACAAACCCATCTTAATTTACTGACCTACAAACTAATCAAGGCCATTCATTTAGTTCGGATCAGCATCCGTTTCATGTTAACCGCTCACTTAAGACTAATTAAAAGTAAGGGTGCTTTGGTCAATTACTCTTCTTTTATAATGAAACAGAAATCACGCTCATTACTTTCCATTCCCATAAACCGTCTATTTCCCGTTTCTTCTTTCATTCCATCTTTCCAATCGATCAAGGGTTTCATCTGTTCGCTTATCTTCCTCACCGAGATTATGAATTGCTCGAATTCATCTCCCCTCCCATCATTATCATCGAACGCCATGGAATCTGCAGGTACCTCTATATCTTTGATGAACTCTTTTTTCATACAAAAAAACTTTAGAGGTACTATGCCTTGTTGTTTGTTGTTCATGTTTCCTGGTCATGCATTTTTTTAAATTTAATTGATTCACATAACAGGTTGATGTTATCTTATGTCTTCTCGCACATGAATTTCACAATTAAACGTTGATAATGTTACCTCCCTTTACTTCGTAGGTTTGTTTTTGTGTGAACTCTATTGTATATAAATTATTAATGAAACTTAACTACATCATCATTAATGTGAAGGGAGAAAATGATTATTTCAATGTTTTGTGAAATTTCTCTTTGTATTTCATTTTTTGTCTTCTGCAAGGTAAAGTATGTATTATGCATTTGTTTTTGTTTTATGGTGCATTTGTTTAATATTGGTTTTCTTTCATGTTTATTATTTATCCTATGTTGTTTACATAGATTTGAATTGCTCCTTTTCGAGTGTTCACCCGAAAAGAAACTAGTTGTTGGGATGATATTTCCTAATCTAGATGTTGGCTTGATTTTTACAAAGACCGTGCAATTTCTAAACAATTTCTAGGGCCACAGAGAAGGGATGATCACGTTTTTTATAGACATTTTCATCACAATTTTGTTTTGAAGGGAGGGGTGCTTGAGGAGGTCCAAGGTCAATTAGCTGATTATGCAGCCGATTCCCTAAGCATTGGGATGATTTGTTATGATATAGATGTTGGCACCGAGTTCTACAAAGAGTTTGCCCCATAATGATAGCAGGAATTACCCCTTAAATAAATAGGATTTCATGATACAAATAAGTTTATTTAGTTATATTATTTTGTTATTTTTCCATGTATTGGTACGTAAAATGTAAACAAATTTGCAAAATGAACCTATTCTTACCTTGTATTCATTGTATTTTATGTTTTGTACTATATGTGTGTACATGTGATTCACTGGATGCCATCCGTTTTTGTATTACAGTTTGCACTTTACAGCACATTGAAATGCATTCTCAAATGCATTTATATGCATAATAGTTTCATCTATTTATTTAACGTACTCTACAAATGAGGACATTTATTTCTTTTGTTATTTGTATCAAATAGTTATGTGTTATATCACGTTTTAAAAAATTAGTGAATGCATTTCATAGTATGTATGGCTGCATTCTATAGACCGCCTCTTTGCATAATAAAGATAAATGTAGTAAGTCTGTTAATTTGAAATGCACCTTATACATCACAATGATGCATCGTCATATGTTATGTAATGCATAGTTCACTATCTCTTCCCAATGTATCAAATAGTTATGTGTTTTATCACAGTTTATAAAATTAGTGAATACATTTCATAGTATGTATGGCTGCATTCTATAGACCACATCTTTGCATAATAAAGATAAATGTAGTAAGTCTGTTAATTTGTAATGCACCTTATAAATCACAATGGTGCATCGTCATATGTTATGCAATGCATAGTTCACTATGTCTTCCTAATGTGTTAACGTTGTTGAACTAAATTTATCCATTTGAACGCATATAACACTTAATTACATCTAAAACTTAGATGCTCATACACCACTTCAACAATAATAAACCGACATTGACAAATGCTTTCAAACTTCATTATCACAATATATTCATGTGCCACAGTGAAAAATATGCTCATATACATGCATGTTTAAGCTTTCCCAAATTCAGGGTAACACTTTACCCACACAATAGTCCTATTTTATGTTATATATCTCAAACGTATAATGATGCATATTATTGCTCATTGCAGTGCATCATACAAGTTGTTAAGATGCAAGTAAACTCAAACCAAATCTTCCCTCAACCAAAATAAGTCTTTGTATTGCACATTCACAATACAAACCGTCGACATAATACGATCTGTCATGAATGATGTTTCATTACTAACGTCGTGTACAAAATTCCATAGATGTTCACCCACATAATAACATATGTTATAGCATGTTTGTCAAGTAAAATGTAAGAAAAAACATATGTTGTTTGAATCAGCTTCTCCTATGGTGCATTCAACCTCTCTGATTTATTGGTCTTCACAAATTCTTCCAGTTCTCCTTCTCATGCTCAGTTCCAGTCTTCCACTATCTACTTATCTAAACGCCTGCATAGTTACCACGACATCATTGCATTACTAGATAACAAATGCAACTTATGAAATTAAACTCCATAACAAATTAAACTTCAATCTATTTTCATTTTTCTTAAAATCTTGTACTACTTTTCTGCCAATGCTTGTCACTTCAGCTCTTTGGAATCATCATGTTGTATATTCATCATTGCTTGCATCTGTGAAACTTCTACTCCTAATGTAATGAATACTACTCAATTTAGACTTATAGAATTTGAATAGCGTCTCTTATGCAAAAAAATCTTGTCTAACCTTTTATCTTTTTTGCCCCTTTGACCTTTTTTTTATGTTTGATGTTACTTGATGATACACCTTCTTGTTTTCTTTTAACTCCTACTACCTGTTGCTCTTCTCCATTTTCTATTATATGTACATGTCATTGTTTAGCTTATTTTCATCTAATAAAATTCACTAATGACTACTGCACTATAGACTTGTAATAATGCATTGCGATTATATTAGTCTTGCATCTTATAACAAAACTTTATGCATATACGAAGCTCAAATATACAAGTGCAGTTATGTGTGGTTTCAATCATAACACTTGACTTTTAGTAAACACATACAACAACCAAAATATGCATAAGGTTGAATTTACTTTCAATCAATATTTAACCAATACTATGTGTTACACAATTCACATGCTATAAAGTCTTGCATATAATATGTTTAATTACTGCGTCTTACATCTACATGTCCTGCACCTTACATTCGTTTGAAAATACAATGCCTGTTGCCAAACTTCTACATCTTACTTCTAAAACTACTGCATCTTTACATCCATTTCAATGTCCAATTACAAGTACCAAAGCCTGCATCTTACATCTAAAACTCCTGCATATTACTTTTTTATTCCCTGCGTGTCAGTGCATCTATAAATACATCTAACTGCATTCCACCTACAGTTACAAGAATGCAATATTTCTTCTCAATATCACTTAAAACATTATCAAACCTCTATCCAAAGCTACATTGCAATCCCAACTTATAATCTGACAGTATTCATCCTAAATTTCTCAATAAGATGCATTTCAAAAATGTTTGAATTAAATTAAACATGCATCCAAATTAATATTTTTGAATCTATATTGAAATAACCAGTGACTACAAATGAGTACCTTCATCAAGCTCATTTTGTATTTCATGCAACAGATGTTCCATATGTAGCGAAGCCATTCCCTTTACTCGTCGTTCACTCTGCCTTCTTCGGTTAAAAAAATACTATCTGAAATCCTTGCTCCAGACTCGGAATGCGTTGGCGACTATGTTTTCAATCGACGATCCTCTGCAACTTACCTTTTTTCCGATGTTATTCGTGGTTGATTACCTTGTTACTGCATACTAATCGTAAAATTAGGGATTTCTGAATTCAATCCTGGTTTTATGTTGGCGGCTTAGTTTTTTATTGTTAAATGACCTTCCTGACCTTTTAGATGACTTAAGCTTCCAGATGGGATTTACCGTTTTATTCCATGTGTGTCAGTGCACCCTCTTAATAATGCATCCCATTCTCAGAGCCGTCCGTTTCCTCTAATCCATCGACTGTCAGTAGTTTGCACTATTTCATGTTTCTGCTGCACTTTTTCGCAGTGGCAGAAAACTTTGGTTTATTTACGACATTGCCACCGCGTTTTTTATCAAATATATTGCATTTTTGGCTCATTTTGAGCCATTAGATCTAAAAATGAATGCACCGAATTAATTTTCACTTTGAATGGGAAGGCCTCTTTGTATTTGAACCATTTTCTCTCTCTCTCTCTCTCTCTCTCTCTCTCTCTATATATATATATATATATATATATATATATATAGAGATTAAAGATCAAATACAAACTAGGCTTAATTTACTAACCTACAAATTAATCATGACCGTTCATTTAGATTAGATTAACGTGCGTTTCATTTAAGTTGTTCACAACCAACTAATCAAAATTGAGGGTGTTTTGGTCAATTACTCAACTTTATAATGGAACAAAAATCAGGTTCTTTACTTTCCATTCCCATAGCCGCCTACTTTCCATTATTCTTTCTTTCCACCATTCCATCGATCATGGTGTTCATCTGTGCGCTTGTCTTCCTCATCTAGATTATGAATTGTTTCAGTTAATCATCTCTCTTCATTATCATCGAACGCCATGGAATCAGGTATTCATATATCTTTGATAAACTCTGTTTTCATACAAAGAACTTCAGATGTATTATTCTTTGTGGCTGTTTGTGTTTCCTGATCGTGCATTTTAAATTTAATTGATTCGCATAACAGATTGATGTTATCCTGTGTTACAGATTGATGTTATCCTGTATTATTCCTGATCGAAGTGTTTCATGTTTAATATTATTTATTGTTTGTTGTTTATATAGATTTGAATTGTGCTTTACAAATTTCTCACGGGGCTCAAAGTACTAGATCTCTGAATGTTCACCCGAAAAGAAACCGGTTGTTGGGATGATATTTCCTAATCTAGATGTTGACTTGAATCTTTACAAAGACTATGCAGCTGAATTTGTGTTTAATATTTGTCATCATACATCAAAGAAGGACAGAGATGGTCATATATTCATGAAGTATATTGTATGCAGTTTCTGAAGTTTACCCGGAAAATAGTTAATGAGTGTCTAATAAGATTGAATGTAAAACTCTTTTAACTCTGAAATGATAAGATGCACATCATATAACCTTAATATGCATATCACAAAATGATAAGATGCACAGTATTAACTTCTAAAATGCACATGTCATAATGATAAAATGCAACCTATGAACTGAAAATACAGACGTCATAACAATGAAATATAGTATGAACTATTGAAGTGCACATATCATCTTACTACAGTGCAATATTCGAACTTCTGAAATACACATGCCATGATGATAAAATGCAACATATGAACTACTAAAATGCAACGTCGACATATGTTATAAGTATGCACTTCTAATATATGTTTTGTGGATACTATGAGTGTATAATGCAGATCTTGTATTCTCAATATGCATATCACGTGACATTAATATGCACATCATATAAACTTAATATGCATATCACAAAATGATAAGATGCATGATATGAATTCCTAAAATGCACATGTCATAATGATAAAATGCGCTCAACATATGAACTCAAAAATGCAGACGTCGTAACGATGAAATGCAGTATGAACTATTAAAGTGCACATGTCCATCTTACTACACTGCAATATAAGAACTTCTGAAATGCACATGTCATGATGATAACATGCAACATATGAACTATTAAAATGCAAGGATGACATATTTTATAACTATGTACTTCTAATATAAGTTATGTAGATATTATGAGTGTATAATGCACATCTTGTATGCTTAATATGCATATCACGTGACATTAATATGCACATCATATAACCTTAATATGCATATCATATAACATTATTATGCACATGAAATAAATATGTTGTGCTTCAATTAATTTATGTTGAACTATTGACTTCTACAATCAAGAGCTCTACGTCTTACCATATTTAGGTTTAAAAAATGAATAATTTATTATAAAGTGTTTCATTTTGTAAATTAAAAGAGCATCTCCAACGCTACAATGTGCACGGTGCGCATGTGCCATGAGAGAGATATACACGTAAAAAATAGAGAGAAATGTGAATCATTTATTTTACTGTTTCTATCTCTCTCATGCCAAAAATGAAGAGAAATGGTAAAATGCATAAAAAATGGTAACTTTCTTCATAATGGAAGGCTTCC